TTAGTCGGCATATTTTCGGACAATATCGACTACAACCTTCCCAAACAAGTGAAAATGTGTGAAATGCAGACTTTCGTGTTCTCGATTTGACGTCACATTACCCGCTAGAGCCATTCCTCTTTAAACTCGGTCGTGGGGCAAGATGGCGGCCGATTTTCCGTATTTTGACTGGGCACAGAAAATTAAAGATTTGAGCAGATTAAAAAGTTTTTGCACAGAAATACTCCAAAAAATAAGCTTATTTCGTTAAGCGAAAAAAATTTTTGGGTTTAGGTGCACTTTAAATTTTGATTCAACGGTACATGTAATACCGTGAGGAGAAATAAGACGCCAAGCGCCAGTTGAAGTTCAAGGGATAAAAAGAAAATTCACTCTGTGCTTATCCTTTCAAATAATTCATTCACATGCAAATTAAACTCATTTTCACAAGAATGGTTGAGTACCAGGCCTCGTTTTGAAGAAGAAGCCAAGGGTAATTCGGAAATGGGCTATTAAGTAAGCATCTGCATGATTCCTTGCGGGGAAACAAAAATGAGAATATGAGAAAAAGTAGTATTGTTAATAAAGTAAAAGAGATGATAAGTTTTGAGCTCGTTAAAGAAATAGATGTTTTTCGTCTCGTCACGAGCGTGGAACAAAGAAACAATTCTGAGTCCCTATATGAGGAATCGAACCTCAGACCTTCGGATTCTGCGCTCTGATGCTCTCCCACTATGGTGAGTAACGCCCATTACCAAGTTCATGAACTTCTTTGTCCCACGCTCGTGACCAAGCGAAAGACATCTTTCTCTGCTAGTATTGTAATTACTGAAACTGGCAGTTGGGAGCTTTTAAACTCTGTCACTCCTTTTCTTTTCATAAGGAAGTACCAACCAAAATTTGCATGTTTTTAAACTAGTCTCTTGATAATGGAGTCACGATGACCCCGAAACGTCGAGTAATAAATCTTTCCTGGTTTTTTCTATGCCTTTGCTTTAGCAAATCCCTGCTGATCAACCAACCAAAATGGGTGTATAATTCAGCTTAGTACATAGTTGGCAGATAACCCGAATCCTGTGTTCTGATTGGTCACCCAACCCTTACCCGCTTTGATCCCGCGCGAGAGAAAAAGTGTGTGGAGCGGACTTACAAAGTTCGTAACTTTGGGACAATGTCAGCGACGAAGTCACAAAAAGCCGTAGAAGACAGTCAAAACTAAGAAAAAAATTAAACGAGCCCCTTAGGCACACTGTGCTACAAACACAGTTGGTTTTCTTTCCCAGTTCTCGAAATAAACAAGTCGCTCTTGATTCTTATTAAAACGAAATATTTTTGCTATGTAATAAATCCTTTGTTAACCTGGCTTGTTTGGTCAAGACGGCTGGATACGAGCCTCGTTCTTATTTTGCATTTTTATGAAGCAAGACGAAGTCAAGGTCCATAAAAATGCAAAAAGAAGAACATGGCTAATATCCAGCCATCTTGACCTCACGCTTGGTCAATTAAACGCGTACTTATCTTATAACGCAAAATACACACCTTGATGCCTGCTGATGATAAAAGGAAGGCTTGCGAGCTTGTGTTATAACCACATCAAATAGATCACGCCAACCTTTACCAATCATGTGATCCATACCTTTCTTCCTAGAGGTAGAGCAACAGGAAAATAGCATAAATACCTATCATGCAAATTAAAAATAAGGATGATCATTCCAGGTAAGTCAACACACGTTTCTTTCTCAAAATTAACAATAATTATTGATAAAATAGTCACAACACAACTGATTGCATCAGATCACATTTTAATCATCAATTATCATCAACGCCAGTTCCACAAAACGTTTCATAAAAGTCCTCTTGGGAGAATTTTTAAATAATCTTAAGAACACTGATAAAATGCATTTAAAATTGCACACACTACAGACCTGTGTGAACACGAGTATGTAATGCAATTGGGCATTTTTTTAAACGAAAGCCAGGAGTAAAATATCCAGCAAGGATCACTACTAAAAAAATTTCTGTCCATCCATATTTTTACTGTCCACAGTTGTACAAAAGAGCAGATAACAGAGTTTTCCAATCTCAGCTTATTGAAATATAATGTTACTAGCAGCCATTTGAGAGTAAACTGTAAATCTAACTCTCTAAAATTTACAACAAAATTAGAATCTCTTTCTATGTCTAAATATACAGCACTTACACAAACTCAAAGCCACTGTTGGTGATTAAGAAGAGCATTTTTCCTGATAAAACAAGTCTGTTGAGTAGTTCTCCTAGATGAGAGCTCTTCTTAAGGTATTTATCTATCAAATAAAGTAAAACATTTTACAGTTACTGTAGCACAGAGTTTACACAATATTCCCCAGTTTTATTCAAGTGCTATTGGGTTTCTTGCTTTAAAGAAATGATATTCATTACCTTATTTATTTTAGCAGTATTTAAATAGGCTGGCACAGTTCAACTTAAAGCTGGTTTAAGTGGGGGGCCATAAAAACAAGTTTAATATAACAAAATGTCTAATAACACAGATATAAAATACACAGTGAACTCAAAACAAATTACAATATATAAGGTGTTGATGCAAATCGGTGCTTATTTTTTTTTCTTTTATGGCATCATCCTTACAAATGCTTGGAAAATAAATAATTGCCTAAACACAAGTTTAGGCCTCACTTAAAGTGGTATCATCCATGATGCTAATAATAACATGCAACTCCCATGAGTGACCAAGACAGAATTTTTCCTCACAACATCAACACAACATCGAGCAGACAAGTGATGAGAATATAGAAAATACTACAGGATTACTACACGATCTAATACCAAATTCTTAGAACTAACATTATAAGAATTGTATAGCAGACAGTACGGCGAATTACTCATAAGATCAGCATACATATCCTCTACTGCTCTCTATACAATTCATAAGGTGTTAACAAAGAGAATAAAATTTATTTTGTTTCAATTGACAATCAAGAGCCTCTTTAGTTGGTGATCATCTCCTTTATTCTTGTGACCGCATTGTTTGATTTAGGGGCAATGTTGTGGGGAGCAATCAGATGTTAGTTGCTCTTGTGGGTCTGGGGTGGAATGAGGAGGGTGGACTAGCATGAATGGTTCGTAGGTTCCTTTCTAGTCCTTCTCCACTGCAAAAATTAATGCAGTGAAAATGGAGTAATTTAAATTAAATTAAGATGATATCATATCCCTCAAATACTTTACCTATATCATTGATGACTTCCTGATACATCTTTCCTGATTTGTGAACATTTTGCACAGCTTGCTGAATAAGATAAAGAAAAATTGATGTGAGTGACATCTGTTTCAAACCTTTCAAAGGAAAATCCGAGAATTAAGTTCTCTTCTTTTTCTTAACGATGAACCATTCTTTTATTCCTAACTTTTTGTTTTTACTTATGTGCCATTCTTACTTTATTTGTTTCAAAACATCAAACAAGTTATTCGGGAAATAAAATTTAAGAAAATAGAGGGTTGTTAAGAGCTTAATGTTTTAACTTCCCTCTCACCAATAATAATAATATTACACAAAGAATGGCTTCAATTCAGAAATAGAATAGCACTATTGAATAAAATCTCCCATCCTGATTGGTTAGCAAAGTAAGGCATTTAGCGTGGAATTGTGAGTTGAAGTGAGGCTGAGTGATATTGCTTCACATCTCTTTTTTCACACTCAGGATAAAAACAAACAATATTATTGCTGTTTTCTTTTTTACCTATTTTCATTCAAATATGCCATTCAAGGGAACTCCATTACCTTATTCGATATCGCACTCATTGTTTCATGATTCACTGGATATTGGTTTTCACATGCAATTTAAAGTGGAATTCCCTTGTCAGGTAATGAATTTTTCTGTCAACATTCCTTCTCATCCAGTGGCCAAAGGTATAATTTTGAAGAATTATTATCACAAGTGATGGTATGATCTATCATGGAGACTTCCAAAAATAATAATTTGAATATATAACAAAATAAATAATAATAATTTGAATATATCAACAAAGTTGAAATGGTAAATTGGCCACCGTTACGATTATAAAAACTGACGTTTCAAGCATTAGCCCTTCGCTTTGACGAAGGGCTAACGCTCGAAACGTCAGTTTTTGTAATCGTAATGGTGGCCAATTTACCATTTTAACTTTGTTGATATATTAAAATTATTTCATTACCCCCACCCACGCAGCCCCAAACAGTTTCTTTAGAAACTATCAGCCTTTTTCCAAAAATAATAGTTTGGGTTAAAAAATATTAATTGTTGAAATTTACTTTCACCAGAAAATAAAGTGCACTTCCACAGCAAATACGTACTTGTGTGACAATAAAACCATCCAAGAAAAGATGTAGCATGCACACTTACAAGTCAATCCATATTTATAAGGTCATAATGATACAGACTTAAATATCTAGAGGTGAGTTACAGTTGTCCTATCATTCAAAGCTCTTCTTTGCTACTAAAACAGTTCCTGGTGGTTGCTTACCTGACAATCGTGAAACAAATACTCTGGATCATAAGGGATACCTCTTTGTTGGAAAAACTGCCACAAAGCAAACAGGAATAACCACTAAATGAAGATCTGATTGTTAATTCTCAACACCGGCCCTAGCCTCTAGCTGCTGCACATTCCCTTGAAAAACTAATTATGAGCATTTAAATTTTTGGTGTTAGATCAAGATAACGATTTCTACCTGATAAGTTTGAGTATTCCCATTACCTGTTTGTTAGATTATGTATGAATATTATTGAGAGAAGCTACATGTTGATCATTTCTAGGAGTTAAAGGGGCCACATGGGCCCATTTGGCAAAAGTCTTGGTAATTACCTAATAGTTTTAAAGCCATATTTCAAATCTAAATCTAAGGAAAAGTAAAAATAGCAATGGTTTGAACAGGTCGATTTCGTGTTGTCTGCTGATACTTGTTTGAACTTCAAAACAGTTAATGCCTTAATCTCAAAAGTAATCAGGACAACCAACTACAAAGCAGCTTTCTTAAGACATGTACAGTAACTAGCCAGACTTTTAAGAAATGGACCTCAGGTCACCCAGCACACTAACCCCTGATACCATAATTATCAAGACTGAACTAAAAAATTAACAACAACATGAATCTGATAAGTTTGAGTATCCTCATAAACTGTTTCCTGTTTCCTTCTAATGTATGTACTGTACTAATGTATGTAATGTACTGTTTCCTTCTAATGTATGGATATTAAAGGAAGAAGTTACATTTTAATCACTTCTAGCCAGAGTTTAAGGGTCAAATATGCTCATTCAACAAAAGGGGAGTTTAAGACTTTTGTTAGATTAAAGAGGGATACAAAAAGGTCACATACAGAAAAAGGGATGAAGACTACTAAATACCTCAATGACGTTGGATATGAGGACCATCTCAGGATATGAAAACAGATCAATCATGTGATGCATAGTCCGCCTTGGGCCCTAATAAATCACCAAAAAATACATGTGCATCAGTTCAGGTCTTACATCTGCTACATTTTTTAATGACAACCCTGGAGATTGAAAAGATTTCAAACTTAATCAAGTTTTGATTGAATTTTTTTTTGCTTAATAAATGTACTTTATTGGTGAAGAAAAAAAAAACAGGCAGATGAAGTAGTTTATCATTTTAACCTGACATTCAGTTTTAGCCATGAGAGTTACCTCAGGTGTTTGCAGTTTCTGAGCTTTAAGACATACTTACATTGAGAAAATTGGAAGGATTGATCTTTGTTATGGCCAGATGTGTTCCTTCATAAATTCTAAACACCTCATCATTAAGTACAGGCTGTAATCCCCTTCAAATGAATGATTCAAATTTCAGGATGCATAGTTATTTAGCTGCAAATTATTCCTGACGTGAAACCTGAAATGATTATATGACAACTTATTGCTTTTTTTGAGTTACGGCAAGTGCACACCAAAACCCCAAAATGGACTGAAGGTAGTTTTCAGGTCATGGTTCCTTAATCACCCTCAGGATCCCAAGAAATTTGAAAAAACTTCACTATAAGGACAAGGAATAGTGGGTTTGATTGATTGAGTAATTAATTTGACTCGCTCTTTGCACTTTTGTCCCTTTTTCTGACAACCATTCTCAAAACAGCTGTATACACTAACACCAACATCAAACTTACCTATAAACAGAACCCAACATAATGTTGTGGAATGCATCAACTTTGAGCAACAGACCCTGAGAAATTGAGAAACCAATACCACAATATTAATCATCATTTCAAGTCTGACTCAAAGAAAAAAGACCAACATGTGAATATGAAAGCCACCTTTGCAGTAATGAACACTACTTTTTTTTCACCACCTAACTGCTTAAAAACAGTTAGGTGGTCAAAATAAGGCCTGAAAAAAAATTCAGGCCTAGCTGTGTAGGAGACTCAAACCCATGACTTATGCAATACCAGTGCAGTGCTCTACCAACTCAGCTAACAAGTCAACCAGGAGCTGGTCACTATGTTGGTTTGTAATAAACCTATGAAGTGATGAATCAATGACTGTTCACAGTCAGTGACCAACATTATTATCACAAGAACTGTATTTATAAAAGGCTGATTGTATTGGTTGCATTTGAATAAAATGGCTCTATGAATGAAAGCTAGCCTTCCAAAAAGATGGAGTGGAGTGTTGACAAAGCAATTTTTTGCAAGTGCTCAAAACTAACCTTTGAAATGTGGCCTTTGTTTAAGAAACCTAATCATGGAGTGCTTTTGTTGCTGTTGCTATTTTACCCTTTATTTGTTGCCTTTTCTGTTCAGAGTGACAAAAAAACATCCTCTTCAATTTATTTTTGTTTCTACAAAAGAACTATAAAGCACAGGAGAAGGCCAGTTAGAGTCTCACCAAGGTTTTGATACCCTCTCTTTAAAAATCTAACCAAATTAACAAATGACTAAACACAATTTTGGGGATAAGCATCTCCAATTAAAGTAAACATCATATGCTTAAGTTCAGCTATTCAAAATGTAACTGAAAGTAGTTGTGAGCACTTGTGGTTGGTCCATTTTGGGTTGGGAGTATAGAGCAGGACAGTCAGCATCTCATCAAGTTTTTGATACATCCCTCTTCAGTTAAAAATCTAACGGTTACCCCAAATTGACAAATGACAAAAACATTTCAGGAGATATGTAACTCCAATTAAAGTAAACATTGTGCAAATTAAAAATTTATCTATTATTCCTTTAACTCTTAAGAGTGACTAAGTTAAACATCTAATTTCTCCTCACGATATCACCCCTGAATCAAACAGTAAGGTCATGAGAATAAAGGAAATGATCACTAACAGGGGAAGCTTTTGATTGTTCAACAAATTCTCCTAAGCAGCACCTTAACAATCATATAGAAAATAGTATGGAGAACATCCATTCTGATGTTAGGGTGGAAAGGGTTAAAACATGACTGAAAGGCTCTGAGCACTTGTGCATGGTCCATCAGTTTTTGGGTTGGGAGTAAAGGATCCAAGCCTTGACCAGGTCACTGGTTGTGTTAAGTAAACAAAATGACCCTGAACGCCCATAGTCCATCTCTTGACTCAGGAGAGCAAAAGAGTACAGACAAAATGTCCGGGAGTCCCTGGGATAGACAGGAATAATTTCAAGACAGGTGCAGTGATACTCCCCTGTCATATTGCACGATTGAAACCCATTGTTTTACTGTACTCCAAAAGTGTCTCTCTCCACCCACGAGAAAAGAGGGTACAGACAAACTATCAGGGAATCCCTGGGATGGACTGGAATAATTTCAAGAAGGGTGCGGCAATACTCCCCTGTCATATTACATGATTGAAACCCAGTGTCAACCAGTGTTTTACTGTACTCCAATTACAGACAAACTATCAGGAAATCTCTGGGATGGACTGGCATATGTCAAAAAGGGTGTGGTGATATTCCTTGTCACTGTGTGTGACTGTGGCTCATAAGCTGACTTTGCTTTTCCTTTGAACACATGAAACAAGACACAAAGATCCTTCAAGCTATTAATAATTAATAGGCCATTACTGAGCCTTTTACATAATCAATTGAATACATACACTGCTGGTGTCAAAATGAAGTCCTCTTATGGCAAAATAAGGGTCATACTTTATGCCTTCAATCCCTCTTGGATACTTGAGGTTAAAAGAGTATTCAATGAAATGAATAATTATTCATGCTTGTAACAACTCCTACTGACAGTAAACCATAAAATTAAAACCAATAAAAGGTGACCTTGTCTACAGGAAATTTGTAATATAATTATATAATGATATTCTTAATGAAAAATGTGAGTTAGCATTACACACTCAGAATAAAAATGCATTGGAAATAGTATAATATTTTATTAGTAATGTAACCCAATCAGATTCAGACTTAAATTTAAGTTTTTTACATGCATACATACATACATACTTTATTGACTTTCCCCAAGAGGGCTTTTTAAAGACAATGAAAAAATTATGTGTCAATTAAGTGAAAAAATTACATGTCAATATCACAGTGACTGACAACACTACAAAATTAAATGTTCTGTTCTGCACTTGGCTTGACTGTTTTGCAGTTTAATTTGTGAAATTTATGGAAAAGAAATAATTTGGATATATCAACAAAGTTGAAATGGTAAATTGGCCACCGTAATGATTACAAAAGCTGACGTTTCGAGCGTTAGCCCTTCGT